TTAATCAAAGGCATCAAAGAAAACTTTCAGAAGTTTAAAAAATGTAAGTGGATAGCCATGGTGGGACAGTCCTGTAATCCCAGCTCTCAGAGCTAGAGGCAGGACCATGGCAGGTTTGAGGACAGCCCGGGTAATTTGGTGATGTAGTGAACCCTGTCTCAAACAATAGAAAGGTATGGGGATATAGCTCAGTTCAATACCCAATACCACACATATACATAAAAGTTAGTGCATTAATCTTATTTTTGTGCTATATTACAAAGCAACAGCTGTAGCTTTTGTGCAGTGCCAGAGAAAGGAAATTTATCTAATAGAGTAGCTAAAGATTATAGCAAAATTTTAAATGGTACCATATGAAAACTATATCAACATCAAATGTCCAATCAGGGATTCATTTACCATTTCTGTGTGTAGGTTATTTATCTAAAATTATTCAGCGAACATTTCTTAAGCACCCATTATTAATATCCATTTGTTATCACACTGAAAATAAATATCATGTTGTACTTCAAAAACAAAGTATTAATAATTCATTAATTCCATTTAGAAAAAACTTTAGCTTGCTGCCAGCATTTGTTTAATTTTCAACATTAAAAATTACTGTATTTTATACTGGACATACATACCACCATTAAAACCACAGTGCCATAAATACAATGATTTCTTTTGTTTCCAAAGATTACCAATACACTATGGTGATGTGAAAATAAAAACAAAAGTGAAATATTGTGTGGCCAACTTTGGGAGTAAGGTTAGGCCTGTAATCTAAAGATAATCTTGGGGGCTGGGGATTTAGCTCAGTGGTGCTGCTGTCTGCCTCACAAGCTCAATGTCCTGAGTTTGATCCCTGCTACCCAACCACCCCCTCAAAAAAAAAAAAAAAGATATCTTGCAATAAATGCTGCAGCCACAAGATTTGCTGGTGAATATTCTGAAAGCCAATGGGAAATTAGTTAATAAAATATAATTACATTTGTATTGAGCAAATTAACACAAGAGATAAAATAAGTGTTAGAATGGTCCTTGCTCTCTGGGAGCTCACTGGTGTGTAAAAAGCACAACAATAAGGGACACAGCAGGTGCTCGAACACACGTCTAGGGAGCTCAGAGACTAGGGAGCTCAGAGAAAGCATCAGTTAGTGTGACTGAGCAGATTAAAGATGGCTTCATAATGCAATTGGAACTTTCAAACCTTCAAGATGAGTAGGAGTCCTATAGGTGTAAAGGGAGAACACTAAATTTCAGTACAGGAATCCACAAAGCAAAGTACGGAAACATGCCACCTCAGGAGCAAACACAGGAGCAGGGTGTGGGCTCCTACAGCAGGGAAAGTAGAAAGGGTGCTGTAATGTGTGGTAGCGGGATGAGCGGGAGAAAGCACGGAAGGTAGAAGGGAAAACACTGAAAGGCACGAGCGGTTGGTGCCTAGGAACCTTGGGTTTGCGTCTTTTAGAAACAATAAATAATTCTGAAAGTAATGGGGAAAAGTGCTGAGAAAGGAAGGAAAGGGAAAAGGTGTGCGTGCGTGTGTGTGTGTGTGTGTGTGTGTGTGTGTAGGGCATTATGTTCCTTTGTGTGAAGTGATGTTGTAGTAACTTCAGTAACTGATACAGGTGATTAAAGCTTTTATAAGAATTAGCTTCCTGTAGTGGTTAACATAATTGTTCCTGAAGTATGAGATATGTTTGTTTGTTTGTTTGGTTTGTTTTTGGTACTGGGGATTGAACTCAAGACCTTGCACTGGCAAGGCAGGTGGCAGGACCAATGAGCTAAATCCCTGGCCCCAGTCAGATAATTGATCTTAAAAAAAAAAGAAAATAACTTCGTGATTTTTTTATTATTAATGTAACACGTTAATTTCAAAGCAAGCATATGACACAACTGAATTTAATAATATGGTAAAAATGAGTGACGATCACCTCCCCAGAGAGAAACACTGTGCAAGACTCTTCCAATTGGCTTTAGTTCTACCTCCTTGAACTACACATTGAATAAGATCGATGATGGGTAGAGGAATGCAGACCACTGGGACTAAGCTCATTTTAAGCCCAGAAGTGGGTATATCTTTGGCCCGACTTTGCTGAGTGAAATTTGCCAAAGCCATTTATTGCTACATTATAATAATTATAGTTTAAAGTAATTATTTCAGAAATGTGCTAAGTACTATGAAAAACACAGTTGGAAATGGGTTTCATACTTTACAACCCACTTATTTAGCAATTCTTCTCTGTCTTTGAAGCAAAAGTGAAAAGTGAGAATAAGCAAAATTTAAAAATCCCTTCAATCTTCGATTCTCTTCAAGTGGACATTTAAGTACTGAGGTCTGATAAACTTGTATCCATTAACTCAGCAATTTTTCAAGCAATACCAATTATAACACCAGAGACCTATCAGTGAACAAAATGCAGGATTGGTGTCTGCATCCACTGAGCTCTCAGTTTTTTAGCTCAGGAACATACTGTCTCCCTCTTCTCTAAAATAGAAACATTAACAAATTTTCAAGGTCTGCCTCCATTCCCACATTTCCATAAGTTACTCTGCTACTGTACTGGTCTGGGTGCTGCTCACTCATTCTTTCTTTAACATCCCACAATTCTTAGAGATAGTATCATTATCATAAAAGTCATAGGGCACTGATCTCTACTCTGTTCTCCTCAATCAGATAAAACATTCCTGGAAGACAAATACACTACGTTACTTGGGGTGGGAACATTTTTTTCTAATATCTGGTAACATTGAGAAATGCATCAAATTCCAATAAATCAGGTAAATATGACTGAAAAACATATTTCCTGGAAGCCTAGTTCTACCCATCCTGAAAGAGATGTCACAGTATCTTTTTGCTAAGGATAACTCATTGTAATAGTTGGACCCATTACAGCGCTGGTGCAAATAAAGTGACGTGGTGGGAATTTTCTAATTGGAATCTCAAAACACACTCTTCATCTCACTTGCTATTTTAAAAGTAAATTGTTCATTATTGCCTAAAGATGCTTCACAATTTAAATGTCCCTAAATGACCAAAACAACAATCCAATCAGCTTTCTATTCCAAATAATAGTTCAATTAAGGCTTGGTTATACATAAAATTTGCAAAGGAGAGAATAAACCTGATTGCTTTGCGTTGCTATTACTATATTTTTGACTAGTTTAAATCTGTGAAAAATTAGACCACAGTTAGACTATTAAAACAGGGAAGTCATTCTGTGAATCCAATCTGTACCTTGGCATCTTGAGAGAAGCTTTTTGTAGTTATTTGCAAGTTTCTTTAGAAGTAATTTAAAGGTTAACTTACATGATTTATAAAACACTCAAACAGGCATCTTGATAAAGTACAACATATTATCTAAATTAAGTATATTGCTTAAAGAAAACCAAGCTATAGGGACACTCAATGACGAGATCATAATTTATGTTGATAGAACCAGAAGAGGTTTGTCTTCATAACCTTTAAAGCTTGACGTCATTCTGCTAAGAATTATTTGAACACTTGATCCTTTCTAGGAGTTTCTAATTGATATAACTGTAATTCTAACCACCAGCCTGCAGAATTATTTGACATTTTCAGAAACGGGGAGACAAAAATGGGAAGGGACATTTATGACACATATCAGGACATGGTGGAGGGCGCACAGTTTGAGATTGAAGGAAAACAGCTACAGATAATGGAAGGTTCCCGTTAAAAAAATTCTTAATTCAGTCTGACTTAGAATGTGTTATTCAAATTCTGCTAAGTCAGAGCTTTTCACTTTATTTTACGATAGATACTTTTGGAGCCATTTACTTAACAAATCAGCTAATATTTAAGAAGTAAAGAGTTCCAAAACTCTCTGGGAAGAGACCGTATCTGATTATGTCCTCATACATCTTTGATCACCACAAACTCTATGGCACAGTTGGCACAGGCCAACTGGAAAAAATGTTTATACAACTTTAACATGGCTTGCAAATTCTCATTCTAAAGCTGGCAAAAATGGAGGTAGTATACCAAACACCCATAGGAGAAAGAATTTTGTTCATTTTTTGTGCATTGGCCACCATTAATGATAAAACCTAACATGCCACAGGCAAGGCACAAATCTCAGTCTTCCAAACAACAGACTAATGAAACTAACAAAGCATCATCTGAAATGGTCAATAATTCTACACCAGCATGCACAGAGTCTCTTCCTTAATGACACCTTGCACCCTCACAGTCATCTAGCTATATAACAGTCTTGTTTGCTGGCCATGTAGCTTAAAGACAATTAACTGCATTTCTTATACACAAAAGCCATATTTCTCTTTTTTGGGAGGGCACAAAGTGTAGCCAATAGTGTTGTCTTAACTAAGTTTTACTACGAAATGAACAATCTATACACAATTGCTGAGAAATCAACCACACAAAAGGTAACATCACAGTTGTCTCATTGACCTCACTCTGATCACAGAAACAGATGTTGAAATAAACCGAAGAGCAGAGTATATCAAATCCAATTTGGGATACCTCCTCAACTTTTCAGTTGGCTAATCCCTGTTGATGATAATGGCATTTTCAAGTCTTAGAGCTTAGAGTGATTTATTCCAAACAAGGAAAAGTATAGCAGAAAAGTGGGGATAAGGAGGACATCTAAAGGCATGTCAGTATTAATAAAAGTTAATGCCACTGGAGAGAATATGAACTACTTAATGGTCTATTTTTGTAGATAAAATTTCTCCCCCATTTCTTAAATCTTAATGGTTTTTTGAGCAGCCATTGATGAGATGACCAAAAATGAAACAAAATTGATGTTGGATGCTATTTGAATTCTTATCATTATACTGGCCTAACTGCCTGATGTTTTCTTGGAAGATTGAGGATAACAAAGTCTCATGTTCTTTGAATATGAAATATTAGCTTTCACTATAGGTAGTTTCGAGATACTCAGTGATGACTACTGTTAACAGAGATGGTCAATAATGCTGCGTACTCATTCACACACAGACAGATCAGAACATCGTAAATGTGGGTTCTGACTGACCTTCAGGTTGATATTGTGCTATAATGGTCACTGTCTGTCCAGCCCCCTTTAATGCAGCAGCTGCCTGTTCATGAGATGCTCCACGGAGGTCAATGCCATTCACCTGAAAGAGAGGAAATCAGAAAATCTCAGGCACAGAACCTGCATTTTGATAGGGGAAAAGAGCTTCTGAAAACTCACAGGCTGTCTAAGATATGTCCTCAAACCCTTTATAATCTACTCACATACTTCTTGGTTTAGCAATTTCCATCATGCAATATCGATAACTGCTAGAAGAGACATGAAATTTATCTTGTGTTTGTAGCATGTTCTGACTAGCTTGGAAACATTTTTGTATCCATCTATATTTGCTAGCATTTTAATACATGCACTTAAACAGCCTCTGTGAGTTTGCTAGATTTCTGGGGTGGATAAGAGTTTTCAAAATTAGAGGGGAAACAGGATAACAAAGAGAGACACATGTAACGTAGGTAGACAAGTAAGTGCTGACAGATTAATATATTCAGATGAGGTTCTGGGGAGACTGCACCGAATGAGGCTGGCTCTCTGCCAAGTACTGCTGTTTAGTCAAATGCCTAGTTCTATCATACTGAGCGTGGTGAGACAGCCCTGAGCTCTGTTCCAAAATAAACCTGACTGGCCCATTTCTTATTCAAATTCTATAATGAATCCTGACAAAATGAAATAAGGAGTTCTTGGAGTTTATTTTGCCATCGCAAACTCCCATTATGAGGCCTCTACTGAAAGAGAAACAGACCATCTAAAAACAAGTTCTAAACTGCCAGGATAAAAAATCATTTATAAGTCACATTTAGTAAGAAGCAAAACTAAAAATTTTTTGAGTCTGTTCAGTCTAAGTGTATACAGTATGATCACTAAGTGAGGGCTCCATGTCTGCCTCAGAAGGGGGTCAGTAGGTGGGAAACAAGACAAACCCTGAAAAGCATTCTGCTTGCAGTGAACATACAGTAGGTCTGTTTTTTTTAACTTAAAAAGAACTAGGTCCAGAGATTTAGCTCAGTGGTGCTGCTGCTTGCCTGGCAAGCACACGGTCCTGAGTTGGATCCCTGGTACCAAACAAACAAACAACTAGATTTTTACAGATGGTATCATAATTCTGCTTCCTTTTATTTAAGGGCAGGTTTCTATGGCCCACGAAAGAAGACAAAAGAACAGACAGCTCACCTATATGTACAGTAGATCACTTTATTTTGCCTGCTTCTATCCTCCTGACTATGAGACTGAGGGGTAGGCAGGGGTGGGCTTTGCCACTTTGTTTCCCCTCCAGGCCTGGAACATCACTCATCTATTTTTAGCCTGGTTCTCTCCTAACAATTTTGTTTTAAGTGTCCTTATTTGCTTTTATAGTTTTCCTTGCCTCTTCTCTGGCTTCTAAGCCTGGTAAACTCTTTCCTGCTAGTATGGATTACACAGGAACACTGGGAAGTGTTAACTCCATTGAGCTGGCCTCATCTGGCTGAGCACTCACTAGCTCACTGTCATTCCACCTTTCTGTGTCTCAATTTTCTCCCACCTCAGAGGGAAGGGACAACTGGGCTATTGGAGGCTAGAGTCTCTCTGAACTCTAAAATTCCAGATGTACTCCACGGCAGAGTGCAGTAATTTCAGTCTGGCTAGGCTGCTCACTGAGTCAGAAGTAGTACTCTTGTAGGCAGAAGAAACAGGAAAGGCAATTTTATCTGTTCCTTTGCCAATAGGAAGCTGAAGTGCACACCCTCATGCTTCAAATTATTTTCCTCTTCTCAAGCAATTAGGTTAAGTTTTCATTAAAAAATGTTCATGGTAAATATATTCTCTTTCCAAAAGGTATGCAAAGGTAAAAATCCCCTTTCATCCCCGCTTCCAGTGGTAACCATTTTTGTGTGTACTCCTTAGAAATTCATCATAAGTACATGCAAACATACGTCATTTCTGTTGCTCTTTCAATATATGTATTTTAATATATTATTTGATTTTTATTAAGGAGTAGATATCATATAGTCAATTTTTTATTATTTGTCATTAGCAATACATATATGGACATCTTTTGCACAAGCTCATAGCCACCTTCATTTTAATGGGACTTTAATGTTCCATGGTGTGAAAGTTCCAGTATGCTTAGTGCGATCTTTATTGATGTGTTTAGGACAGTTTCCTGTTTTTGCTTACTAGAAACACTTGTGAAGTCTTTTTGAAGGTAAATTTCCTAGAAATAGGCTTCCTCTGTCAAAGGGTATATACATTATTTGTTTCTTTTAATTTGTTACTATGCATTTGAAAATGACAGTTAAACACGTTGAAACTACTGAAGAAAACAAAATGGGCATAATTTCATTTACCACATAAATGAGTTTAGATGAAAAGCAAAATTGATATTTGCCCATAATTGCATATATAAAAAAATTAAAGCAGTAAAAAGGCCTAAAAATAAAGGCTCTCCTCCTATTAGTTTCTTCAAAGGGGCCAGGGATTTAGCTCAGTGGCACTGCACCTGCCTCACAAGCACAAGGTCCTGAGTTTGATCACTGGCACCCACCCAAAAAACAAACAAACAAAAAAGAAACAACAACCTCCCAAAAATAAACAAAAAAAGATGATCATGTTGATGACTTCTTGTACGTACTAATTATTTTTGTTATGAATATAAACTGGTTTCTAAAATATAGAATTAAAAATTTTATATGAATAAGATATTACTTATAATGTTTTATATCTTGATTTTTCTAGTACATATCACTGCTTTCTTAAACAGTGGTCACATTCTTTTCAACAGCTGTGGAGTACTTTAGTATTCAACGTAAAACTGTTTTTTCAGTACACAGCCAATGTCACTTTTTTTCTTTCATATTTTGCTGTTAATATAATGCTGTAAATATCATTTATCAGTAAAATAAAGAAAATAAAGAAAAAGAGAATAAAACTTTGGTAGTCTTTGCTAAATTACCTCCAAAAAGGTAGGATTAATTTATACTCCCACAAATACTACATGATTTCTTATACTCTTATCATAATTGCCTATGCTTTAACATTTGAACTTTTCCATATTGATAAATATACAATTGTATTTTTAAATTTTGCATGTCTTCAAATATGAACTAAATCATTTTTATATGTTCATTGGTTATTTAAACTTTTTATATAAAATGTTCTTTTGTTTATTTTACTTTCTTTTAAAAATTTATTTGCATTTTAAAAATATCAGTACCCCATCTTAGATAACTTTTGCGAATATTGTTCTTGGTTTTTGTATTATTGTATGCTCTATTTCAACTTTCCCCTGGTACATTCTTTCTCGCCACAGAGCATTTTAAAATATTTTTAGAGCCATACTTAGCAATTTTGTCTTTTCAGTTTTGTTTCATTTTTCCCTCTTCAAAGTATTTAACAAATTTTCCAGTAGTGTGACCATAGTTTGATTTTTATCCATTTAATCTTTAACCTACTGGAATACATTTTGATGTTTTATGGGAAAATCAAATGGATAGCCACTGTCTCTGGAATATCCATCCTCAGTCATTTATTTATTGAAGATAAGGCCTTGCTATGTAATTCAGGTTGGTTTCAAACTTGCAGTGATCCTTCTGCCTCCTGAGAACTGGGATTACAGACATGAGCTGTCACACTTGCCTTGAATCATTTCATTGTAGAATAAAATTTCTATATCATTCATCCTAGTTACACTGAATTTTCTCATTTAATGGTCTGGGGAAAGTACATTAAAAAGTCGGAAGGAAAAGCCAGGGATTTAGCTTAATGGTTTCACAAGTGCAAGGACCCAAGTTCAATCCCTGGTACCAAAAACAAAACAAAACAAAAAGTGGGAAGGAAAAAAGATATGGATTCATAGAGAACTGAATTCAAATATCAAGTCCATCAACCATTTCTGGGTAACTTGGGAAAGTCACTTCACTTTTTGAATCTCAGCATTCTTACCTATAAAATGAGTATATTTCCTACCCATTTACCATAGGTAATCACCAAAAATTCAGCAAATAATATCTATTATTGTTCATATTTTTTGAAGAGCTGTGATTACAAATGATGTTAAAAAATTGAGCAGAGGGCTGGGGATTTATCTTAGCGGTTCCACTGCCTGCCTCAGAGAACACAGTCCTGCGTTTGATCCCCTAGTGCCCCCCCCACAAAAGTACTAAAAAATTGAGTGGAGAGACAGTGAACAGTGATTTAACTCAGTGGTTCCACCACTTGCCCTGCAAGTGCAAGAACTGGAGTTCAATCCCCAGTAAAAAAAAAAAAAAAAAAGTCAAATGGAAATAAACCAATATAGAATATGAGTTATGAGTTATTTCTTTTTTTTAAGGAACAAAGAATTTGTGCATTAGACGAGCCTTAGAAATGTGTCTATTCAAAACATGTCTATTTAAAACATGAGAGATGATCGCTATAGGGGAAGGAACAGGTCCAAATAATTTCAGAGTTACCAGCTTAAGTCACCTCTGGCCCAGCCAGGGCTATTTCTGCTGCAACAGATGTGCCCCAATATGTTTATTAGCTTCTTTTCCACTGGATCAGTAACAACTAAATCTTGTTCAGTTTATGCCTAGACCTACGTGGCTATCTGCATTTGTGGGGTTCTGTTGCTATTGTTAACCCAGGTGATACCACATTTTGCTTGTCACTGATGATTTTCCTTTAGCTTTTAACAGACCTGCTCTCTTCCAGTTTTCCAAACTTTTCAAGGTCATTTTAATTCTTATTTCTATCTCCGAGATTGGAGTTTTTATCAGTAAACTTCGCTTAAATAACATTTTCAGAAGTATTCACAGTTTCAAACATTGATAAGACATTTTAAAATGACAAGTATAGAGAGCCTCATATATTTATTATTTGTTTTTCTTTTTTTGCTTGTTTGAATTTTCTCTTCTGGATGCATAGATTCTCAAAATTTTAAGAAAAATTCTCTTCTTGAAACATGAATTCCTGGAGCATAGGTATCACTAATTATTGGTGAGATTAATAATAATCATTATAAACATTAATTGACTCTAAGGCATGGATATAGGAGATATGTAAACATTCAATCCTCAGGAGGCTGGGATTCATTTTCCCATTTTATAGGTGAGGTAACTGAGCTTGGAGTCA